TGTGTTTGATCCTGCATTTAATCACGTGTTTGATCCCGTGTTTGGGCTGGTGTTTGATCCTGCATTTAAACCTTTGATCCTGCATTTAATCCTGTGTTTGATCCTGTGTTTGTTCCGTGTTTGATTCTGTGTTTGATCCTGCATTTAATCCCGTGTTTAATCCCATGTTTGATCCTGTGCTTGATCCTGCATTTAATCCCGTGTTTGATCCTGTCTTTGATCCTGCATTTAATCCCGTGTTTGATCTTGTGTTTGATCCCATGTTTGATCCTGCATTTAATCCCCTGTTTAATCCCATGTTTGATCCTGTGCTTGATCCTGCATTTAATCCCGTGTTTGATTCCGTGTTTGATCCTGTCTTTGATCCTGCATTTAATCCCGTGTTTGATCCTACATTTGATCCTGTGTTTGGTCATGTGTTTGATCCTGCATTTAATCCCGTGTTTGATCTTGTGTTTGATCCCATGTTTGATCCTGCATTTAATCCCATGTTTGATCCTGTGTTTGATCCCATGTTTGAGTCTGTGTTTGATCCTGCATTTAATCCCACATTTGACCCTGTGTTTGATCCCATGTTTAATCCTGTGTTTGACCCCATATTTGATCCCGTGTTCGATGTATGATCCCATATTTGATCCTGCATTTGACCCTGTGCTTTATGCCATATTTGATCCTGCATTTGATCCCATTTTTGATCCCGTGTTCGATCCCAGTTTTGATCTGCATTTGATCCCATTTTTGATCCACATTTGATCCTGTGTTTGAATGCCACATTTGACCCACATTTAATCCTGTGTTTTATCCCATATTTGATCCTGCATTTGAACCCCTTTTTTTGATCCCAGTTTTGATCTGTGTTTGATCCTGATTTTGATCCTGTGGTTTATCCCACATTTATCCCATATTGATCCTGGTTTTGATCTGTGCTCGATCCCATTTTTGATCCCATTTTAACGCGCGTGGGAACGGCAGCAGTGGGGCTGGCCCACACCCCTGGCCAGCTGTGCTCCCCAAGGATGGGAAAAACAACCCAATTTCCAGCTCTGGGACAAAGCTGTGCTGCTGGAGCTGGAGCCAAACCCCAAAATCTGGCTGGTTTGTCCCAAAAGCGAGCAAGGCTTCCCAAAAAAACAGGGCAAGTTCTCCAAAAGGTGAGACGGGATTCCCACCTGAATCCAAGCTGGATCCTGCCCAAAACCCAGCCAGATTCCTCAAAAAAGCAGACAGATTCCCCCTAAAATCCAGCCAGATTCCCCCAAAACCCAGCCAGGTATTCCCCCTAAAACCCAGCCAGATCTCCCCAAAAACGGAACCAGATCTCCCCAAAACCCAAGCCAGGCTTCCCTCCTTAAGCCAGTCTCGACAAAAACCCAGTCAGACCCCCCAAAACACACCGGGTTCCCCCCAAAACGAGCTGAACCCCCCGAAAAATGGCAGACCTTGTCCTTGAAGTCGCTGTGGTTCTGCAGGATCGCCCGCTGGTACGTCCCCGTGCGCACGTAGTCCTGCATCATGTTCTGCTGCTGCGACAGGTACCCGTAGAACTGCCAGACACACGGACAGCCCGTCAGCCCGGGATCCTGNCCCGTGCGCACGTAGTCCTGCATCATGTTCTGCTGCTGCGACAGGTACCCGTAGAACTGCCAGACACACGGACAGCCCGTCAGCCCGGGATCCTGGCTGGGTGCTCCCCCCAAAACCCGGCCAGATTCCCCCCAAAACAAAGCCAGGTATCCCCAAAACACAGCCAGATTCCCTCCAAAACCCGGCCAGATTCTCCCCAAAACAAAGCCAGACTCCCCCCAAAACCCGGCCAGACTCCCCACAAAACCCGGCCAGATTCTCCCCAAAACAAAGCCAGCTATGCCCAAAACACAGCCAGATTCCCCCCAAAACCCGGCCAGATTCCCCCCAAAACAAAGCCAGCTATCCCCAAAACCCGGCCAGATTCCCCCCAAAACAAAGCCAGCTATCCCCAAAACCCAGCCAGATTCCCTCCAAAACCCGGCCAGACTCCCCCCAAAACCCGGCCAGATTCTCCCCAAAACAAAGCCAGATTCCCTCCAAATCCCGGCCAGACTCCCCACAAAACCCGGCCAGATTCTCCCCAAAACAAAGCCAGCTATCCCCAAAACCCGGCCAGACTCCCCCCAAAACCCGGCCACGTATCCCCAAAAAAGCAGACAGATCTCTCCAAACCCAGCCAGATTTCCCCAAAATCCAACCAGGTATCCCCAAACCCAGCCAGATTCCCCCCCCAAAACCCGGCCAGATTCTCCCCCCAAAACCTGGCCAGATTCCCCCCAAAACCCGGCCACGTATCCCCAAAAAAGCAGCCAGATCTCCCCAAACCCAGCCAGATCTCCCCAAAACACAGCCAGGTATTCCCCACAAAACCCAGCCAGATTCTCCCAAAAACCCAGCCAGATTCTCCCCAAACCCAGCCAGATCTCCCCAAAACCCGGCCAGATTCTCCCCAAAACCCAACCAGATTCTCCCCAAACCCAGCCAGATCTCTCCAAAATCCAGCCAGATCTCCCCAAACCCAGCCAAATCTCCCCAAAACCCGGCCAGATTCTCCCCAAACCCAACCAGATTCTCCCCAAACCCAACCAGATTC